AAAAAAAAAAAAAAAGAAGAAAGTGCCTTCTTCATGTACAATGGCATATTTTATGCTTTCTATTAGAAGAAAATATTTTTATCTCATATTTTCATTATCTTCCCCCCATAATGAAATGATATCAAAGTAAGCTAAATCATATTTATTCAAATTTGTTAACATACAGTTCCCATTTTACAGATGAGGAAACAGCTTTTGGTTGGCTAAGGAACTTGACCAAGGTTATGCAGCTAGTAATCAGCAAAACCAAGACTAAAAAACCAAGTCTGCTTTCCTCCAAAGCCTATACCCAGAGTCAACAGAGCTGATATTTCATTAATAAAAACAAATCCAAGGGCTAGAAGTAAAAGTCTATAGTACAATAAATATATTACTTTAAAGCAGGAAGTATGCAATGCGTTTAAAATATTTCCACTTAAGATAACTTACTTCATGAAACCCAAGAAGCTACCAGTTGTAAGATTCATAATTTTTCTAGAGAAACACTGACAATTAAACCATAACCTGTCATTGATAATACAAAGTTCACTTTCAGAAACATTAAAATGTGGAGGAAAAAAAAAAAAGGTTCATCTTAAAAGGAAATGATACATGGTTTTCTTTTTCTTTTTTGAGATAGTCTCACTTTGTTGCCCAGGCTGGAGAACAGTGGTGCTGTCTCAGCTCACTGCAACCTTCACCTCTTGGGTTCAAGTGATTCTCCTGCTTCAGCCTCCCGAGTAGCTGGGACTACAGGCATCCACCACCATGCCCAGCTAATTTCTGTATCTTCAGTAAAGATAGGGTTTCACTATGTTTGTCAGGCTGGTCTCTAACTCCCAACCTCAAGTGGATCCACTTGCCTCGGCCCCCCAAAGCGCTGGAATTATAGGTGTAAGCCATTGCACCCGGCCAAAGGAGATGATACGTGGTTTTTCTTAAAGTGTTTGTGCATACTTTCTTCATTACTGAGGAATTTCTGTTATCTGGAAACATTCTTTCTAGTTACTAAAATTCATCAAGGTCAAAGTCAAATTCTTACCTGTGGGTAAGAGATGAGCTGTCTGTACATATTTTTGTCAAATGATTTGATGTGTTCACAGTTTACATTTAAAAATGGCTCACCAATAACATTGATCTGTAAGATAAAAATGAACAAGTTATATTTTGCTAATGTAATCATCTTAAAACACATAACTGGAATTTAAAGAGCATTTGATTACCTCCCCAAGTCGTTGCATGTATATAGGTTCAGTAATATCTATGCCAACATTTTCTTCTTCGTTAGCCAGAGGATCAATAAAACGCTGAAGAAATCTCTTCAAGTGAAGAGAAAAAATATTAGGCATATAGCATATGGGAACAAGCAACTATTAAAAACACTCAAAGTTATGAGTATGTCACTATCAGGAAACAGAAATAAAATTTTTTCTTCCTTTTTCTTTTTAAAATTTTAATTTAGAGATGAAGTCTCACTATACCAGTCAGGCTGCTATCAAAAGCTCCTGGCTTTAAGTGATCCTCCCACCTTGGCCTCCCAAAGCACTGGGATTATAGGTGTGAGCCACGACAGTAGCTCTTCTTAAACATCAGAAACACAGTAGTAATTCTAGGCCACCTACAAATCTGACCCTAGTCATATGGCTACTCGGAAATGGGTTACAAACACCACTGTCTCCGAACATTTTCAGAGCCCAAACAAGAATTTCAATACATATAGCTCACCTGAAAATTTTCTTTGCATGCTGCCACGTTTACATCTGTTCCCCAGATCACAAGCTTTTGGCCTAGAGACTGCTCACTTGCCACCATATCTTCTGCTGCTGCCTACACAGAAAAACATGACAGAACCATGACAATGAAGTTACCCAGGTGACATCTGCTATAAGATGGTTTCAGTAGACTGCATACTTACCCCGTCAGACTGCAGATCCACTTGCAGGCCCTTCTGTGCGGAGCCCAAGTCAGGCCTCTGTCTCACAGGTGTGCCTCTAATACCACTTCTTGGTGTTCCCTCTACCCGCGAGCTGGGAGTGCCATATGTCAGTGGCGAACTAACATCGAAGTCAAGAGGGATTGCTAAAAACCAAAATTAGGTGGTTTACAACAAAATTCTGGTGGCATATCAAACCTTCAAACTACAGAATGTTGTCTGTTGATCTATATTATCTAACCTCATCACAACAGCAAACTGAATTATTTATTGCAACCTGCGGGTTGAAATTGAGCGCTATTAAATGTCCTATTAAAAAAAGCACAAGAGAAGCTGCCTCCTCTGCTCACTAAGCCCTAAAAGTGCTATTCCCCGAGCTTTGTTCTGCAAGTCCTTTGGTTCAGACCATGCTCACGGATGTGCAGAGGGGATGCTTTAGGCATTATGACAGCCAGTGTTATCAAACTAGTAAACCTCAGCAGATGAAGCATCAGCTGTGTATCAGGCATCCAGCATAACGTAGATCTTCAGACACGCACCTGAAGAATGCATTTGGGGAGGGCTGGAAAATAACGTGTCCTGCGCGGCAGGGCTCTGCAAGTCTGCTCCAGGCGAAGTTGGCATTGGCTGCAGCTCCCCGGTGGAGGTGGAATCCTCGCCTCTACGTCTCTGAGAGGGAGATGACCTGGCATCCTCACTTCGAGCTTGTGTCACACAAAACAGAAAAGACGGTCATGTACTTTCAGATCCGGCCTTCCTGGATTTGTTGGTCCTTTGGGGCACTACTGACCCACCACTGAACGAAACTAAACAGGGACAAATGGGCAATCAGCACCCAGGCCAGGACTGCTGTGTCTGTGCGCACCACGGGGCAGCGCCCGGGCCGCGCACCCACTCAGCGCTGCCAGCTGCGGCGGGAGAGGGCGGAGGGGTCGCGCCGGGGGCTGTGGAGGGCCGGACTAGAGGGACTCACGCGTCTGAGCGGGGGTGGCTCTTCCACGCCGGCTGCCGCGGCGGCTCGGCGTAGACGCCGGAGACGACATGGTGCTCGGGATACCTGAAATATAAGGATAAGGTCGCGCCGCGCCAGCCGCCCGGCTTCCCCGCCCTGCCCCGCCGCGCGGACAGCCCCGCCGGCTCCGCGCCACGCCCTCTCCGCCGGCGCGCGGTTACCGGCGAAAAGCGGCCGCTTGCAGATGCTAGCAGGGCTCCAGGTACACCTGGAGGGTCGAGCTCCCAAACCGCGAGACCCAGAGTTCCCGCCGGCGGCAAAATCGTCTCCGCCCCTGGCGGCTCCTCACCAATCACAGCGACGCTCGTGCGTGGCTCCGCCTCCGGGAGGCGCCACTGCACAGCGGTAGGGGGGACACTGCAGCTTCCTTTGGTGCCCGTGCGGAAGCCAGATGTAGGCCTCGCTCAGTCCCCCCTCTGTCCAGATGGTCTGACCTCCTGCGCTGCGGCGTTTTCGCGGGAAATCTGGGTCCGACAGCACCAGATCTCAGGGGTGTGTTCCTCCAGTGTTGACTGGGGAGCATGTGCTTCTTTATCCCTTAAGCGTTTTTGACTAATAAGGACATTACAGATGCATTTATCACTTTTAAAAAATGTAAAAAAAAAACAACTAAGGACGGGGCGGGGATGGTCTCATTATGTTGCCCAGGCTGGCCTCGAACTCCAGCGATCCTCCTGCTTCAGCTTCCTAAAGTGTTGGGACTGCAGGCGGGCACCACCGCGGCCAGACGCATTTGTCACTCTTTAACGAGGAATAAACTTGGAGTTCTTGACCCAGGCCCCTCGCTTGTTTTATCTGCCTCTGGTATTTATTTAGTCAACTCCAATACCAAGTAGCCACCCCATCTACTTCCGCGGGTCAGACCGATGGACGGCGTCTCTCCTTAGGTTTTACGGTTGATACGGACCAAAGAGACGTACCCACAGGACGGGGCCCTCCCGCAGGGGTCCCTGGGAAAGTTCCTGCCGCCGCTCTCCGTAGCCCCGCCCCCGCGCAGGGGCATTTCCGGGTCCGGCCCGAGCAGGCGCACGCGCGGGAGCGGGACTCGGCGGCATGGCGGGCTCTGGAGCCGGTGTGCGTTGCTCCTTGCTGCGGCTGCAGGAGACCTTGTCCGCCGCGGACCGCTGCGGTGCTGCCCTGGCCGGTCATCAGCTGATCCGCGGCCTGGGGCAGGAATGCGTGCTGAGCGGCAACCCCGCGTTGCTGGGTGGGTACCGGTCAGAGCTGGGCCGCGGGTGGGACCTGGCTTCACGAGTCGTTCTGGAGCTGGGCAGCCCGGCGCTTCTTTCTGTTTAGATGACGATATTTTGAAGTACAGCGTTTAGGTTCTTGAGGGAATTTCTGTATAAAAAGTGATTTGTCATACTGGTTTTTTCCCCCTAGTATTAGAGGAAAGATATTTTTAAACCAAAGTTGGTGAAAACGACCCGTAATTTGGCAATCATTCCTATGCAGAGTCGGGGGAGGGCCAGAGAAAGAGTGTTGGTGTGTGTGTGTGTGTGATGGAGTCTCGCTCTGTCGCCCAGGCTGTAGTGCAATGGCGCGATTTCGGTTCACTGCAACCTCCGCCTCTTGAGTAGCTGGGATTATAGGCGCTCGCCACCACCCTCGGCTAATTTTTTTGTATTTTTAGTAGAGATGGGGTTTCACCATGTTGGTCAGGCGGTCTCGAACTCCTGATCTCGTGATCCAACAGCGTCTACCTCCCAAAGTGTTGGGATTACAGGCGTGAGCCACCGCGCCCGAACAGGAGAAAGTATTTGCTTTCTGAATCTCGCCTAATTCCCACCAGTATCTTTTCCAAACCCTTACATTTGCTGTTCCTACTTTGAGAATAATTGAAAAAATATAATTGAAGTCGTGGTGTTCTTTTAATTTAGCAATGCCTGGGTGGGAACTTTTTCCCCTTTGTAGTAAAAGTGCCTCTTTTCAGCATTTTAAAAATTCAAATATTTCATTGTGTGGAAACTCCTGTAATTACTTCTTTAAAACACGAGTGTGCAGACCTCTTCTGGATGTTGTGCCCGGAACACCATCTCACCGAAAGTTAGGTGAAATTTTCTGCCTGAGAGGCTGGTACTGAATATGGTGTGGGAATAACATAAGCAGTTTAAACAAGATCGTGTATGTGGCCAGGTGCTGTGGCTTATGCTGTAATCCCGGCACTTTGGGAAGTCGAGGCGGGTGAATCACCTGAGGTCAGGAGTTTGAGACCAGCCTGACTAGTATGGTGAAACCTCATTTCTATTAAAAATACAAAAATTAGCCCGGCACAGTGGCGTGCGCCTGTAGTCCTAGCTACTCAAGAGGCTGAGGCAGGAGAATGGCTTGAACCCAGGTGATGGAGGTTGCAGTGAGCCCATATCGTGCCACTGCGCTCCAGCCTGGGCGGCAAGACTCTGTCTCAA